TCCTGACTGGTTTGGCTGGGAAGCTATTGAGTTCTGGCACCTCCCTCCGCTGTCATGCTGCTCCCACTCTCTGCCTTGGAGTTGTCCCCTCAGGATCCTCCTGCTTGCTGTGCAGGGGAGAGAGAAGAGGAGGGCGCTGATATCAAGGTGCCCCTCTCCCACTTCATACCCAACTCCACGCAGAGAGAAGGGGCTGGAGGGAGCTTGGCAATGCAAATCTCTGTCACTCTCACACAGTGTGTGTGTCTGTCATTCTCACAAACACGCACTGTCCTTCCCTCTCATCTCCTGACCCCACACACACATGGGGAGTTGTTGTTATTTCTTATACTGCTTGCAAAGTAGAGTAGTTTGGGGTTTTGACTGGTCTGTGCATTTCATCATCTTCATTTCTCTCTTACACTTAAATTGAATTCTTTGAGGATTGAATTCTAACCTTCCCAACCTGCCGTGGCTGGAGTCATTATCCCTGTGGTAATTACTGCTCCTGGAAGTGGCTGGTATATCCCTGCAGGAAGCTCCCATTAATCAATAACAGACACTTGTAGCCAGTAGAAGCTGTGGGCTCAGTGCCTTTAGATGAGGGGCAGCACATGGTGCCATGGAGCCATTGCTGCACATGCCAGCTGCTTTCAGAAGGGGTGCAGGGCCAGGGCAGGAGTACGCCTGCCTTAACCCCCCTGCTCTACCACCCAGTAGGTGTCTCAGTTAAATGGTGCCCAGCCAGAGCCTGCTTCCTGAACCCATCCCAGCCTGAACCACCTCCTGCACCCAACCTCCGGTCCCAGATGTGAGTCCCCCTGCACCCAAACTCCTTCCCAAAGCTTGCACCCAGAAACCCCCCCGGACACAATCCCCAACCCTGAGCTAAGCCTGGAGTCTCTCCCACACAACAAACTCCTTTTTGAAGACCAGAGACTTCACCCCGCCACCCTACCCCAGCCTGGTGAATGGGAGTGAGGAGGGGGGAGGAAGGAGGATCGTGTGAGCAGCGTGAGGCCTTGGAGAAGGAGTGGAGCAGGACACCTTAGGATTTATGGTGTCCTACGTGAGATTATTGAACCCCTATGACTAACTTGCTCTTCCACCCCTACTCCCTCCTCTTCCCAGAAACCCCAGCAGCCAATCCCTTCCCTCAGACTGCTGCAGGCAGTGTGTTCAGCTCTCTAGGACCCAGCCCTGCTGTTACATGCTCTACTGCTTCCTATCATAGGCATGCGCAGCATATTTCATTAGGGTGTGCACCCAAAGAATTTTTTTTAAATGTACTCTTTGACCCCCCTCATTAGCCACCCCCCTGACCTCCGTTAGCCACACCTCTGGAAGCGATACTCTCAGGGCAAGATGGACACATGACCAAAAGTAAAAGGTGTCATGTGACCTCTTCCCTCAAGGACTTTTCCCACCATCCTCCTACCAATAGGGATTAGTTTGGGCCCCACCAAACCCCCCTCATGCACCTATCCTGCAATTGCATTAACCCAATGTGTGTGACACTAACTCAGGGGGGCGGAGAGGCTGGGGGAAGTGTTCCATCTCAGGCTGTATCTGAGAAACACTAATAATTTGGGGCATAAACACATCTGATACCCATATAGAACTTTTTCATTCCTTCCTTTTCTCAAACTAGGAATGGGAATTTGTTTTAAAAAAGTTAATGTAAAATTGCAAAGCATCTGCTGCTCTACATCCCAACATAGGACAGAACCCGCCTAACTCTCAATCTCTTCTCTTCTCTTCAGCCTTCCTGAGCTCTGTACTGCTTTTCAGGCTATCAAAATCATTCCCCTCCCCACAATCTCTTAGCATCATTTGATGGAGACTCAAAGAACTGGCTTGCTTAGGATGCTCTTGCGCAAAAGCACATTCCTTGCTCAAAGGGACATGCCAGTGTAGACGCTCTCTTCTGGAAGAGTTTTTGCACAAGAACTCTTCTGCAAAAGAGTTCTTGCACAAAATCATGGCAGTGTAGATGTAGTCTAAGAGTTTCCTCCCATGAGCAAAATGAATTTAGTGTTGTGCACCAGTAGTGAGTTCATGTGGCTTGTTTGGATGTGCCACCCAAGTTATTAATAAATATTTTATAAACCTCTACCTTTTCCCTCTGCTGCCATGTCTCCTCCCCTTGCTCCATCAGCTCCCTTGGTGCCTGCTGCCCCCAACCCTCCACCCTCCTCTACTGTCCTGACTCCTGCCCTTCTCACTGCTCTCAGCCTTCCTGAGACCTGCCCCCCCTCCACCAGCCCCTCTCTATGTGCCACCCAAGTTATTAATAAATATTTTATAAACCTCTACCTTTTCCCTCTGCTGCCATGTCTCCTCCCCTTGCTCCATCAGCTCCCTTGGTGCCTGCTGCCCCCAACCCTCCACCCTCCTCTACTGTCCTGACTCCTGCCCTTCTCACTGCTCTCAGCCTTCCTGAGACCTGCCCCCCCTCCACCAGCCCCTCTCTCCCCCCTGTGCCCACTCCTCCAGTAGCCCTGCTCTGATCATGTGAGCTACCCCTCCTCATCCCCTCGCCTTACACCTCCCTCTACACACCTGCCATGCCTCTCTCCTCTTGTGCTGGTCCCTCCCCTGCAGGTGTCTGCCCTTCTGCTTCACCCCCAGAATCCCCTGG